AAGGGAAGGCGCGAAACTTAAAAAGCCTGCGCCAAAACTAACCTTAGAATGAAGCCGATGAGCTTCCTCGAAGGACGAGCGCGCATCTGCCAGTCTAGCTCCCTCAGCACCGAAAGAGCCAACCCCGGTTGGCCACGGTCGCTTAGTGTATATGATCTCGAGTTTCGAGTATCCCTCGAAGCACCTTCGATGGGAGACTGAATCGGCGACAGTTAACCCTCTTGCCTCAAAGTACCTTCGACGGAAAAAGAAGATGGCAGCGGAGGAGAAACTGCCTTTCTAAAACTAGAAATCACGGGCGCAGCAGGCTCAGTCAATACATCCTCTCTAATCCCACGGTCTGGGTTCGCTTTGCTTTGAACATCGTCGCCCTGCAAAGGCATTTCTTGCTTATTGTTATCATTCTTTAGCATGGAAGCTGACAACCGTTCTCCCTTTACGAGAGGGCACGTCCTCGCCTTAAAATACTCCCCAATGCCTACAATAACACGGTTAGTATGCAAAAAGAGAAAGTGCCCTTCTAAATGAAAAAAGGGAAGGGAACAAATTGCACAGCACGTAATGTAGAAGGAGAAGAAAACAAAACATATTGCAACAATAAGAGTCAGTGCTTACCCGAGAGAAGAGACGATGAGCCTCTTCAAAGAGGGTAGATGCATCATTGAGGTCGGCGGCATCATCGACCCCAGTAAAACAATCCTCAAAAAGATCTTCTGCGAGGACCTTGCTCAGGTCGGGCGTTCATAGAGCTTGAGCGTCCTTTATTGCCTCCTCGGAATAAGATGGCAGATGAGGGGAGTGACATATTGTCATGGCCCCGAGATCGTTGCTCGGGGTGCTCTAATTAGCCTCGGGATTCTCGGTACCTGCCCTATCCAATGTACTTGTCGGAAACGGGGGAATAATCTCGATCTCAGGGGACTTCGGGACCTTGCCTACATTTTTCTTCGGAGCCTCCTCTTCACGAGACAGGGTTTCCGATTTAGAAGATTTGACGACCTCAGTTGGCTTCCTGGTTCGGGCCATCAACGTCGATTCTTCACCCTCATTTTCCCCATCATCTAAAAACTGGTGGGTTGTATCTAAGTCTGTATGAATAAGTTTCATCTTTGGCCTTCGAGTAGGGGCCCCCTTATCCTGGGGGTCTTCGGGTTTCGAAGCCCTTTTTCTCTTGTTATCTTTCCCCGATTTGGGAACCGGGGACTCGGTCTCTTTCTTGGGCGGGGCTAGCCTCATTTCGGAGACATCTCTAATGCCTACATAAATAGGCATAAGTAGGATGACATCTCCAATAAAAGGAAAGCATCAAAAAACCTGGGAGAAGAACTTACCATGGTGTTTGGCCTCTCATTTGCCCTTCGATAAGTCACACCATTTGTGCTTGTCATACGAGGAGGTCGAGGCCAGTTTTCGAACCCAATCCTCGAGGTCAAGGATCGCATGGGGCATCCAAGTGACAGCTGCAAAAAAGGCAAAGGCATTACTAAAGGCAGGAATGGAGTATAAGAAGATACTAGGAAAGGGACTTCACTTACGCTTGGGATTCCACTTCTCTAGGAACGGTATTTTTCCCTTAGGGATGACGTCCGAGGTCTTCACTCGGACAAACCGGCTCATCCAACCTCAGTTCTTATCCTCATTGTTACTAGCAAAGAAGCCTTCGCTTGATCAACGTTGAAGCTTGATCAACACTCAAAAAAGCTGAGGCCGATACAGCCGAATGAGGTGGTTGAGGGTAAAATCTAATCCCTCGGCCTTGCTAGAGAAGTAACGCAGCATAATCACAATACACCAGAAAGAGGGATGGATCTGGCCGAGGGTAACTTCATATCTTTTGCAGAAGTCAATCACTACTAGATCAATGGGACCTAGTGTGAAGGGGTAAGTGTAAACACTTAAGAACCCTTCCACATGGGTAGTAATGCTCTCATCGGGGTCGGGGATCTGTACCACGACTTCGTCCCCCCAGTCACGGTCTTTCTTCATGGCCTTGAGATGCTTCTTAGTTATCGAACTAATATATCGGGATACATGTTCGCATTGGCTTGGGATTACGGGAGGGGGGAAGGGGGGTTCAACGTTGAAGTCTTTCTTTATCACGCAGGGGTCGGGAATAATCTCATGAAGGGTCGGCGCCACAAGTTTGGCCGGCCGGGAAGAGGAGGAGGAAGCTTTCTCCTTTTGGGAAACTGTCTTTGAAGTTTTTGCCATTAATTCGAGTTAGAAAAAATAGAGATAGGCGGAGTTTGGTAATTTCTGACACTAAAAGGAATGAGAGTAGCAGATAATGAGAGTAAAGAGATGAAGAGACGGAGATATAGAAGAAGTTTAGAGGTGGTTTGAAGATTGGAGTAAAGCTTTCTCTGAAATTAAACCTTATATTTATAGGTGAGCAGCGACGGTTCAACGACGCTAATGGCCGACCACCACTCGAGAAGCATTTAATGTTTTGGGGAAGCGAACTGACGGGTCTTTTCGGTCACTTCGAGCGCCTACATCACGAGAATGAAGTCATCATCGAAGGCTCCGAAAAATGGAGGTTCAAATCGTTTCTTATCATTTTACTCTAAGAAACGCGGGGACTATCTGTATACAGTAAAATCATGTACCCCCGATTTTGTGGGCTCGAGGGCTCACATCGAGGAACAGAGGGCTCATATCGAGGGATAAACTTAGTATGGACCGGGTTCGAGTTCGAGGGCAGAACGTAAGGATCAAATATCAAAGTGCACGACGAGTACCGAAGCCAAGAATGATCAACCTCGAGATGGAGCCGTTATGATTTTGTAACAGAATGAGCAAGATTCCCGCCACGTCCTCAAGATCATGGCATAAATTTCGGAATAAATTTGTACGAGTTGGTACTAATCGTACTAGGCGGTTAGACATCTGTTCCAATAAGATTCCTTATCGTAAATAGAAATGTACCTTATTTAGGGTTTCCCTATCCAATCATTTGTAACCATCATCAATCATTGGCAAGAATATACTCGCTTTCTTTCTTGCTCATATTTCATCAGAATTGTCCTTTAACTTTATTGTTCTTACTTTATTGTTCTTGACCAACCTCGAGACCACCTTAGCCCGAGGTCGAGACTGGCTTGCATACTGGTTTGATTTCACTTACTTTTTCATTTGTATGTTAGATTTTTTGGTTATTAATTAGTATTGAACCAAATTACATATCCTTAAAATCATAAACAAATTTAATTGTTACTCGTATTTTCGAGGTAAACAAGCTTAATTATGAAAATTAGTAATATTACCAGGATATTTGCTGAAGTCCATAAGATGAGGTGATCGGAGTAATAATCTGATGTCAATTCACTAAAGTAATTGGCAAAATCATAGGCAAACGGATTTTTAAATGTTTCTTGTTTATATTTTTTATGTTCTTTGTCTAATGTATTATCTCATACAGATAACAAGGAATGGCACATAGATTTTCGATATATAACATTTTGCTGAAAAGACGACATTACATCTTTATCACACCATTTCTTGTCTAGGTTTTCAAATCCTTGTGGTATTTTCCCTTTGGCAAGGTAGGCTAATCTGCCTTTACCTCCTACTGATAATTCTTCTACATGCATTTTTTGACTGATCCATTTGGATACTTAATGACCCTAAATGACACCTACTTGCCATATATAGTTATAAGTGTTTCTTTTTGCCCTATATAGTTGATGATATTTCAGAACAAGAGATTAAGCATCAAGAGCATGAATTTCGTGTCCTAAAATATTTTTAGCTATGGTGGAGAGACAGTTCAATATCAAAGTCAAACTTACAAGATATGTGACGCTATAGAACTAGGATTCAACAGTGTATCACAATTCGAATATGAAATTGGTTCAGTAATATTGGGTTGCAAAAGTCTCTTAGGGGACGTTTGGACATAAGAATTGTAAAATTCCAAAAAAAAAAGTAAAAAAATTTTCAAGTGAAAATGGTATTTTAAAATTAGAATTGTATTTGGAAATGAATATAATTTTGGGTTGTTTTTTAAGTTTTGTGAGTGATTTGAGTAAAATTTTTGAAAAACGGCTTTTTAGAGTTTTTCAAATTTTCGAAAAATTTCAAAATTCATCTTCAAGTGAAAATTGAAAATTTTATGGCCAAACACTAATTTCGAAAAAAAGTTAAAAAAATTCTTATGTCCAAACGGGCTCTTAAATTCATCTAAAATGTTCTAATGGTGCTTTAGATGACTTTTAACTTTAGTTATTAATATTATAATAAGTAAAAGAAATATGATTATAAGAAAAGTTATAACACATAAAAAGTAATTTATAATACTTGATGCTTATTAACTACTTTTAATCATCTGATCTAAATAAGTTCAAAGTATCATGGCAACCTTATTCAATATTTTGAAAAGATTATTGACACAACTGACAACTAGGACTTAAATGTCAATAGAAAGAAAAAGTAGGACTCATCTTTTATGTTAATGCTGGGTGTTAAAGTGGGATATTTACACAAATAGGCGGCAATTCATCATCTATTTTTTCTAGAGAATTTTTCATAAAGCACCATCTTTTAGATCTAATTAGCCATTTATAGATACTCTTTGTTATATTACGTGTTATAGATATCTTTTATGTTTTTATACAATGTATTTCATGTATTTGAGATGTTGTATTCATTAATACAACCAAAAAAATAGGCGTAAAAATAAGAATTCCAGCTAAATCTGATATGTATTTAACTGTATTTAAGCGGCTTTAACGTGAAATACAGTAACGTATCTGCGCAGAATCTGGAAGGTTAAACTTGTTAAAACGGAAGGAAATCAAATCACATGATATTCTCCTAAATTAACTCAACGAACTAAAACTAGTACACATTAATCTGTATTCTGCTCAAAGACAGCATCTCAGAAACGTGAATACAACGAAAAAACAGAGCAATATCTGATCGAACTTCTTCCATTCTCTTCTCTCTTTTTTCGATTGATACAAATTATATACAAAATAAGGTATTCATCCTCTATACATATGGCAAGTTTAACAGTTTTGTTGCGTGATTCTGGCAAGTGGAACGATGAGGGCAATTACATCGATTTTTCAATTGAGGGAATACTGATAAAGGAGTATGCCTCCTTTAATGATCTGGTTGTTTCAATTTCAAATCAACTGGGTATCGATTTGATCTCCAAGACAATTAAAATACAATACAAAGTAGAAGGAAATTGCACACCAATTGAAATACACAATGATATGGGTTACAGAGTTTATGTAGAATTGAAAAAAGAGAACAGAGAATTTGGGATGTATCCTTTGTGCATAACAACTATCGAAAAAGATCTTATATCCGGAGGTAGTTTAAATCAAGGCGATATTGTGCAAATAGACGAAGGAGTTCAAAGGTACGATTCCGATACAGATGATACACTGGCTCTAGATTTTGTCAATTCAGGAGAAGCGATTGGAGTGTTCGAACTCCACAAGGATTTGATAATTTCAAAAACTAATCAAAAGGAGGTTATGGCTGGAAAAGTTTATAAGGATAAGGATACATTGAAAGAGGTGATGGAGAATTATGCTATAGCTCAAAGGTTTCAATTCCGGGTTGATAGGTCTAATGCTGTCAGGTTTGCATATATTTAAAAAAAAATTCCATTGTATTTTCGATTATTTGTTTGAGCTGTAAGTTTAACGTCGTTGTATTTATGTGTATTTATGTATTTCATCTAGATGATCACAGATGAAGTAAACATATGTTAGTTTAGGTCATTTAAATACATGTATTCATATGTATTTTACTAGTATAAATACACAACAGTGGCTCTAATTATTTTCTTATTATGTCTACTGTGGTGTTAAGTGTATGCATATACAAACAAGTGTATTCAGTTGTATTCATTGTATTCAAACGCATATAACTATAATGGAATTCAGTAGTATAAAAATTTATATATATAGATGTCAGGATGTATCTATGTCAGATTATATTTGTCTGTATATGAGCTGCATTTTTTGTAAACACTTATGCTAATCAAATGTAAAATAATTAATTCTTTGCAGCTATGCATTATTATGTATTTCAGAAGATTGTGAATGGAGGTTTAAGGCTTCAAGCATTAACAAATCAGAACTATTCAAAGTGAGAGAATTCAATGATAACCATACATGTCCGCTGAAGGACAAGGTGTATGAGCAGCGGCAGACTAGTAGCAGCCTTATAGGTGGTATGATAAGGCCTAAGCTTACAAACCATAAGAGGAAATACACTCCAAGGGATATTATTGATGATGTGAAATCAGATTTAGGTGTAGATGTTAGCTACATGTTGGCGTGGAGGGCTAAAGAAAAGGCAATGAATTTTCTGAGAGGTGAACCGGCTGATTCATACAAAAAATTACCAGAATACTTATATACAATGGATATGACATATCCAGGTTCCCACATAAGAATGGTAAAATCGCCAAAAATGAATTCATGTACGTGTATATATCCTTGTATGCCTTTATAAGGGGGTTTGATCATTGTAGACCTATTGTTGTTGTGGATGGAAGTCACCTAAAATCTTACTATACCGGGACATTCGTTTCGGCAAGCACGTTGGATGGTGCAGGTGAGTATCTGAATTATAATACAATCTGTTAATATTTTTAAATATTGAAATACATTTTTTAAAAATAATTATACTCAATTGTATTTACAGGTCATATATTGCCACTAGCATATGGTGTTATTGATTCAGAGAACGATGTTGCTTGGACATGGTTCTTTGAGCAATTCAAGATAGCATACGGTGAAAGGAAAAATATGTGCATCGTTTCAGATAGAAATGAGAGTATCATTAAATCTGTATCGAGAGTGTATCCAGATGTACCGCATTTTGCTTGTATATGGCATCTATGGAACAATTTATATAAGAAATTCAAAAAGAGCCATGCCAAGTTGAGCGAGATATACTTCTCTATGGCAAAAGCATACACACAAGCTGAATTTGACAATCTGATAGAGAAGGTGGAGAAGGTAGATATTAGGGTGAAAGAATACTTAGAGTTAGCTGGTTACGAAAAGTGGACTAGGTTGTATGCACCTGTTAACATGGGATGGACAATGACGTCAAATATTGCTGAGTCAATCAATGTCGCACTAGTTTCAGCAAGGGAATTGCCAATATACGACTTCCTCGAAGAAGTTAGAAAGATGTTTGGACGTTGCAATTGTAGTAACCGCAAAGAAGCTACACAGACATACACGACTCTTGGAAAAAAATACCAGGAGATGCTGACTTTGAATGAGGAAATGTATGACTGTAAGTTATATTTTAACGTCATTGTTGTATATAGCTTAATTGTTACTGAATTAATGGCATTAATACAACTGAATACAATGATTTTTTAAGTAGAACTACCATTAATACATATGAATACAACTATATTCAAACTCATAAAAGATATATTTTTCCGTAGGTCTGATATGAATAGAACTGAATATAACTAAAAGCATGCTGCAAAAACTATTGGAATACATCATAATATAACTAACAAAGTTGTATTATATGTAATTTTAATATGTATTGTCAATACGTATGATTCTAATGCTTTTGTTAGCATCTTGTTGCCTAAAGTACAGCAGATTAAAATAGTTGATTAATTGAATACAACTGAATACATCTTGAATACAAATGCAGTTGAATATATCTGACTACAACTGATTAAAACAATTGAATTTAATTGAAATTAGCTGAATACAGCTGAATAAAGATGTTGAATAAAGCTGAATATAACAATTGAATACAGCTAACTATAGCTGATTAATACAGTTCAATTCAAATGCTTCTAAAGTATGATTCTAATGTTTTTGTTAGCATCCTGTTGCCTAAAGTACAACAGAATTCTGATAAGTTCTGCACTAATAGCAGTTGGTATTGTGCTGGTCTAAATATTTGATGTATTCATCTATATGCAAAAAATTCAGTTGTATGTAACTTATTAATTCAGCATTATACATTTGGTAATTCAGATATATGTGCTCAAAACTTATATTTCTATTTTTAAATGTAGGTGGTACCATCAACTGAATACTTACATACGGTTAACGATGGTGGGAGGAATTACACAGTCTGCCTGTTAGAGAGAAAATGTGTTTGTGGGAGGTTCCAAGTTGATGAATTGCCATGCCCACATGCTTGGGCTGTATTGAAGAGCAAGTTTCTAATGCCAGAAGAATATTGCTCTAACTATTACAAACCAAATACAATTGTAATGACATATGATTTGCCAGTGTACCCGCTACCGGACAGAAATGACTGGAATATACCAGAACATGTTGCAGAGGAGGTTGTACTACCACCCAAATGGAAAAGACCTCCTGGAAGGCCAAAGAAGAAGCGCGATAAAACATTAAGTGAATTGCTGCAGCCGAAAAATCAACATTCATGTAGCATATGTGGGCAGGGAGGACATAACAAGCGAACGTGTAGAAATGCTCCACGTAATAAATAGTTAACACTCTGACATGTATTAGTGCTTCAACGATTTGTCAATACTTATGTTAACATTGTCAAGTAATAAATTCTCATTGTCAAGTAATATATTCTGAAATGACTTTCGTGAATAGTTTCTGAATACATATAGTTGAAATATTTTTATACAGATAAATACATATGCACTATACAGTTGAGTATAACTCAGTATGGATGAATACTAAAAAATACAATTGGATACAACTGAAGTATTTTTATGAATAATACAGTTGAGTAGCACTGAATGTAAATGAATACATCAAATACAATTGAATACAGCTGAATAATACACTTAAATACAACTAACTACTGCTGAATAAAACAAGTTGAATACAACTGAGTATATCTGAATACAACTGATTACGTAAAACCTGTTTAATACATCTGAAATTGTGTTCTTTAATATGTGTTATCTGAACTTGAAAGATACATCTAAATGGATGCTACTGAATACAACTGAACTTGACAGTTAAATACAACTGAATACAACTGAATCCAGAAAAAAAACATCTGAATTCTTTTATATAACCTACCATCAGCATACATAAAGTTTCTGACTTTGACATTAACATGTTCATTAACTAAAACGTGTTCAAGCAAAGTTGCTTGGTATTAACACATACGTGAATCCTGTAAGATAAATATGTATCCAAACTGAAGAATAAGCATGAATACTTATGAACAAATTAGTGAAGCAATGATTGAAAAGTTTCAATTGTCATACACGAACACTGTTGATAAAGTGATAAGTTTTTCAAACTAAATACCATTTACACCAAAAACTACTCAAAATAGTATTCATCTTGAAACTACACTCCAAAACTACAATAACCTAAAGCTACTCTAACACTATCTGCATCCTTGAATCTGACTTCGTGATTTGTCTAGCAATCTTTGAAGGTGCTTCATTCTCGCTTATGGCATCAGCGTCTATCTTCCGCATAGCATAGTCCCAGAGGAGAGCACCATATCTTTGACGAAGTAGAGAGGAATCAAATGTTATTTGTGGAATCTCTCCAAGAGTGCTCAGAAACTCTGTGTATGCTGTAACATACACCCCACAATCCCTAAAAAATAATTGATTGAAACAATTAGAAATAATGCATACAATTAGATTTGTATATAACATACAATAATGATGCTTGAATACTTACATGCTACCAACTTTCTGTTGAGGCAGATCTGAAATGAAAAAACTTCAAAGGGGTCATTATGTGACTTGCCAATGTATGCTGAGTAAGTAGACCAATCTATGCCTTGACTATCTCTGTAAAAGCCAATGATTGATAGATATAGAGGTACAAGCTTAGCTAGCTTATCAATCTCAGAAACTACATAAGCATCATGACCTGTAGATCTGTACGAGTCATACACTTTGATACATCTCTCCTTGAATGAGACAACAGTCAATACCCAGTGTAGTTTGTCCTTCAAGTTGACTGGTATCATGACATTATCCACAGTATGCCAAGGTACATTTGCATGCAATCTGTAGCCTCTTATGTACTCACATACCACATCCTTTTTTTGGCTACATTAGCATTACTATCTATATCAGCATACCTGTCGAATATTTCAGTGATTCTTGTCTTGAATATACAATAAACAGTTGTATACTTGAAGTTGCTTGTTTGATTGTACTTTCCCTTCTTTCTCAAATAGTAGAATATGACGTCAATATGCTATACACAAAGTTAAGTACATGGTGTGAGTCCAATTAATCAAACTATTAAAGAATATAGCTGAATACAGAGAAATACATATGAAAAATACAGTTGAATACAACAGATTGTATGTGAATAAAACTGTTGACTACAACTGACTATAGCTTACTACATCTGATTAAAATAATTGAAAACAACTGAATATAGCTGAATAATACTGAATAATACAATTGACTACTTATGATTTAAAGACTTCAATATGACTGTCTACAGTTGAATACTGCTGAATACAGAGAAATGCAGTTGAATACATCTGACTACAGTTGATTAAAACAGTTGAATTTAATTGAAATTAGCTGAATACAGCTGAATAAAGATGTTGAATAA